AATACATCCAGGGCAGGAAGGACCAAAGCCAAGAGTAGCTCCCCACCCCCAATGGGACCCTCTCAGAGATGATGAAAAGGCAAAGCACGCAGATCAGAAAGAAAAGGGGGCAGGGGACACCTGCAATAATAGTAGAAGGTATTCATGAAATTTTACTTCGTGCCAGAAGCCAGTCTAAGCTTTAATCTTCACAACCATATCCTCACTTTACAGAGAAGGAAACTGAAATGCAAGAAGGTTAAATTACTTGCCCATAGCCACAAGGTCACACAGCTGGTAAACGATGGCGTCAGGAGTTGAACTCAGGTGCTCTGCCAATCAAAATGGAGGACTAACCATTCCCCCTTCTTGGATTGGTTAAGGATGACTTTAGAGGGGGTTCCAGAAGCAGGTGGGAGTCTGGACAAAGCCATGACATGCTCAGCAGTATTTCAGTGTGAATTTTAGTTCCAGCTGGCCTTGGGGCGCCCTAGGTAAGCTATAACCTCCGTTCCCCTCATTCGCTCCCCAAGAGCACTTCATTCTCTGTTCCCCAGCTTCAGTGTCCAGCTCGGCCATGCCCCCACTGGAGTTTGTGCCAGATCCTCCCCCTGCATCCCAGAAATTCATCTCTCTGACCAAGGTGATAATATTACAAATAGAAGTCTCTAGTGAGTGATTAGTAGGCGCTAGGTGCTGGACAAGTGCTTTGCATATTTTCTTAATTATCTCCATTTTATGGAAGAGGAGGCTGAGTGGCTATTTTGTTCAAGGTCACAAAGCTGGTGAATGTTGGGTCAGAATTCCACCCAGATGTGTCTCATTCCAAGGCCCGGCACTTGTGAGCCACTGCTGCCCTCTGCTGGGCATGGGGCAGTACTGCCACGTTGTACCGGGCACCACATTTTTACACCACAGCCTCCAGCTCTGCTTGCTAAAGGATATCATCTACGGGGGAGGGACGGGGCAGGTAGAGGGAGTTCTGGTCCCAAAGTCACGCAGAGCCCCCTCAAATTGCACCAGTAAAAGCAATATATATTATTTTTCTGTGAAGAACATTATTGGTATAATTGGTGAAATTTGAATGTTTACTTACTAGTAAAGGAGCTTCAGGACTACAACTTTTAAACAATTCAGAAAAAGTGTGTGTGTGTGTGTGTAGAGAGAGAGAGAAAGATAATAAATATAGAAAATGTTACATTTGGAGAATTTGAGTGAAGTATGTAGGGAATTCTTTATACTGTAATTTCTCTGTAAGTCTGAAATTATTCCAAATAAAAGGTAAAAAAATTACACCTTCAGGAAGCCACCCACAGCAGCTATCCTGGGATTTTCCCTGGTAACCGATGGAGTTCGTAGGGAACTACAAATTTATTATTTGCTCCTCTCCTCGGCTCCTCTTCATGACAAAAATCATGACAGCCATGGTAGGTAGGGAGTATGGGGACCCTTGAGACAACAGGAGGAAAAAGCTACCTCTTGAGCAGTAGCTATTAGGGGTCTTCCCTGAAGGGCCCTGGGGGTGCCCCCTCCAATGCACACACCAATTCACAACTGCAATCAATGATAGGGGACCCCAAAAGGATAAGCTTGTGTGTGTCTGGACATTGGTCAGCATTGTGAAGGGGCTGGCAGGCATTTCTTGCGAGAGAGAGTGAGGAGAGTAAGATGGGGAGTTTGGGAGAAGGCTGGGTGGCGCAGGGAGGAGCTAGTTGGTGGCATGTGAGAAACAGTATGTTTGTCCAGCAAAGAAGAGCAGACTCAGTCTATGAGATGCAAGAAGACAAGGTGAGCTCTGGGTGGAGGTGCTGGGAGGCACACATTGCTCCACACTGTGGCTCGGAGTGTAGAACATCCTTCCAATGATTACACCGAACGCAACGTGAGGCGCTTCCAGGGGACCCTCCAGCAGAGGGCGCCACCCACTTGCAGGGGTGGAGGTGTCCGAGAGGAGATAGACTCTCCCGGCAGGGAGTCCCACCCCGACAGATGCAGATATGATTGGTCTGCGCTGCTGCCAGGGCACTGAGATTGTTTAAAGTTCCTCAGGTGATTCTAATGTACAGCCAAGTTTGACAGTCATGACAAAGAATGTTCTCCCTTTAAGGATCTTTGAATCTCAGAGACTTTGGGATCACGTGAACAAGGCCAGAGGGCCCATCTTTGCTGCAAGAACTTCAATTGCCTTGGTCAAGTGGTTTATCCTGAACGTAGTCGCCGTCTGATGGATGTTTTGACCCTAAAACCGTGGTGAGGTTTCTTACTAAAAATTGAGAACAAGCATTAAGAAAAGTGGCTCCACAGTTTTACTCACTCCATTTGAGAGCTCCCTGGATTTTTGTTGCTTTTGGAACCAGCCATACCCTTTGGTAAATACGGGGATGTGATGGGTTTTTATTTAGTACTTCCTGGCCAGGCCATTCTGGGGCTTCACGCATCTTGCCTTGTTTCCCTCTCCCACCTTCCCCCAAGAGACCAAAAAGGTAACGATGCCCTTCCTCCTCCAGGAAATAACACCCAGGCCTCTAGGATTCTGCCCCTCCCTCCCAGGAGGAAGTTAGCAGCTGTCAGGTGGGAGAGGGGCCACCTAAAGACACATTCCATTCAAGCTGGCATCCTGTCCGAGAACTGGGTTGTCTGAGGCTCCCTGAAGAAAACAAGACAATCTCATTGAACGGAAGAAGGGCGTGGCCCCAGCTGGGAAACAATAGACTCCGGAGTCCGGAATGATGGAGGGCTTGGCTGCAGACTTACCTCTTCTCCATCAGTGATCTTATCCCATATCATGGCTCTCCTGCAGAAGAGCACCCACACCCTGGCCATGCCCCTTGACTGGACATCCCCGCGTGGATGTTACGCAGGCATGTCAGACCTACTGTGTCCAAAACCAAACTCCTGGCCTTCCCTCCCTGTTCCACCTCCCACCCCAAACCTGTCCTCCCACAGCCGCCTTCAGCTCAGAAAAATGGCACTGCCGTTCTTCCAGTCACCCGGGACAGCGACGTCACAGCCATCCTCACTCCTCGTTGTCTCTCCCACGCTGCATAGAATCCTCCAGCAAATTCTGACAATCTGATGATTTCTCACTGCGCCACCCTAATGGAGCCCCCATCCTTTCTTGCCTGGATTTTTGCTGCCCACCCCCCTGTCTCTGTCTCCCTGCTTCCACCCTTGTCCCTCTGAAATCTATTCTTAGCACAGCAACGAAGTGACTCTTTGAAAAGAAGCATTAGATCAAATCACCCCTTGGCTCTAAACTCTCCAATAGCTTCTCATCTTGCTCAGAGTAAAAGCCAGTGGCCTTGACCCTGTGTAATTACCCACTCTCCCCTGCACCTCATTTCCCACCGCTGCCCTTGTCTACTCACGTGCTTCAACCACCATTGCAGTTCCTTGAAAACACAGAGGTCTTCACACTTGCTGTTTGCCTGCCTGGAACTCCCACCCCCACATCCTTCAAATGTGTCCGTTTGCCCAAACATCACCATTCAGCAAGGCCCTTCCTGATCGCCCCCTTTAAAATTGCACTCCCCAGCAGCACTCCCTGTTCCCCTCCTGGTTACATTTTCTCCGTCTGACTTGCTTTTCACATGTTGCCACCCTCTCCTAAAACGGGCTCCATGAAGCAGGGACTCTGTTGGCTTTATTTGTTTGCTGCATTTCCAGGCCCAGATGGGGACAAGCAGAGAACAAGAGCTCCACAGCATCTGCTGAATGCACGAAGATGGTCAAGGGCCTCAGGTGCAAGGTCACCACCTGCTGCAGGTGGCTGTGAGGGCGCCGAGGGAAGGCGGGGCCTGATACCACTGACGGGGCCTCCTAGCAGGGAGCATGTGCACCTTGCAGGCTGGATGAGAACCTTCAGCAGATAGAGCCCCTGGTTCCTGGTACAACAAAAGAAAACCAGGCAGCCAGAGAAAATGACTAACGTTGGGGCCCTCATCAACCTTGAAACCTGTGGCTTGGAGTCAGATTTTGTTGGATATAGGAAAGGAAGTAAATGCAGCGTTTTTTGCACTTTTGAGTGTTAGGAAACCAGTCATTCCACAAGTGCCACCATTTTAGGGTCCCTGCGGTCCAGAAAGGCAGAAGCCCGTCTGAAAGGCGAAAGGTCCGGAGGTCCTACTGGCCCATGCATGGGCCTGGGCTGGGCAGGGCCCGTTGTCACAGGATGTCAGACTCGGGGCTCCTCCAGCCGCCCACCAGGGCCCACAGTCTCAGCGGAGTCCTGAGGCGGGGAGCACAGGGGCCTCCCAGAGCAGGTGCCACGGATGGCGGACCTGGCGCCGGCAGGGGTTCGGCGGGCTGCGGGGAGCCGGGAGGGAGGGGAGGAGAAAATCGGGCAGAGGAAGCAGCACGTGTGAAGCCAGGAGACCACAGCACCTGGCACAGGGAAAGATGCGCACGCAGTGTGGCCGTGAGAGGGCCGACCCTGACTGTGGGTTGGAGGGAGGGCCCGCGGAACCTCATTAACAAAGCTGAACTTTGACCTAAGGCCACCAGAAGCATCTAGCAGAGAAAGCTCACCCCAGCTATAACAAAGGGAGTGGTTTAGCAGAATGGCCAGAGGGAAGGTGGAAGGGGCTGGCCTTGGTTACAGGTGAGCTCACTCCTACTGACGGGCTTAGGTAAAAGAAGAGGTACAGGGGGTGGGGGTACGGAACATGGGTTGGGGTGGGTGTGGGTAAAGGGCCAGGTTTGGGTTTGCCCATGCGAAGTCCACGTGAAGAGGCCTTGTCGGTACGTGAGGGCTGGAGACGTGGACCTGAAATTGTGACAGTGAGTGTGGTCACTGCGGCCCTCAGAGTGCGTGAGAACACCCAGGAGAGGGCGCGGGGGTGCGAGCGCCTCGGGCAGAATGCCTCCACCCAAGGGCCAGGCTGGAGCAGAAATGCTCTGACGGGTGCCTGAGGAGGGGCAGCCTGGGAAGCAGGAGGAAAGCCAGGAGGGCAGGTGGCGAAGGCCGGGCGGCATCCTGGGAAGCGACGCTGGTCCCACACAACCAAGCCCCCACCTCACGCCACGTCAGCACTCTGCCCACCAGGAAGCACACGGGATCTAGAATTTAATAGATGTTTATTTGTGTAATAGGAACATTCAGGTATATAAACACGGTAAATATTTTCCAATGTATAGTCCATCATGTTCTGACACTGCAGTGGAAAAGAATCTACATGTACTGTCCAACACTGATCAGACGGTGCACAGGGGAGTCTGCTGTGGCACAAACACATGGATCTAGTGAAACAAGTCACGTACGGGGCACAGCAGCTACACAATTCCCCGAACTCCCTTTCTGGGCTGGTGTTCCTTGGCACAAAGCCAGCAAACCCAGGCTGTGAACCTAACGGAAGTGAGACGTAAGTGTTCCATCCTATCAGCAAACAGTTTCACTTGGCACAGAATCACCAGATGCCTCAACCCCGCTGAACCCTCTGAGCACTGCATAGAGGGAAGCCCTCAAGAGGCTGCAAAGGGCTCGGCCCTGCCCAACGCCCGGGAAACCCCCGCAGCGGCACTGTCGGGGCCTTCGCCCCCACTGGGAGACTTTTTTTTTCTCTGCAGACGAGAAGCTGCCTGGGTTCTTTAGATGCAGTGATGAGGGAGGAAGTGCCAGGCCCAACAAACGTGGAGTCCAGGACAAGAGGACAAGCCCAGGACCAGCCCGTCACAGCAGCTGCTTCCCGAACACCTCTGCAACCATGCTCTCCTGATTCCTGCCACAATTGCGGCTTCATTAATTAAGTGAAGGGGCGAGGCCAGTTAACACAGTGGGCCTCTGGATCTGGTCTTCCTTCTCTGCCAGCTCCCAGGAACACTTCTCGGTCAAGCCGGTAATTCCACATTATTACTCCATTGGCTTGAATTTCACGGGTCTTTGTCAACACCATTCCTTCAAAGGGAAGAATCCCCCACCTCACACACACACCCTCCCTAACTCCCTGTCTCCCTTCAGAAAACTAAATGAAATATTTTTCACTCAAGTGCCTGTTCTCCCTTCATTCATGAAATCACGCACGTGATCCTCTGCTAACCTGCGATCCAACAACACACCCACGTCATCTATCCTCAGTGGTCACCTGCTTCTACCCTTAAATACTATTAAGAAAGCATGAAACACAAGGCCCTGACTTGTTACACTGCAAGGGTGCGGGCAGGGCTTTCAGGCTCCCTTCCCCTGTGTTATAATCTGCTCTGGAGGTACTTTCTCTTTCCCTTACTCTTCGTGGCCCATGGCCGCTTATGCAGGGCACTGCTGTAGGTTCCTGAGCTGTGTGCCCTTGGCCAGAGGGGGAAATGGGGTCCTGAGGGAATCAGAGACACCGTCACCCACAGAGCGGAGGCACCACCGGCAAGAAGACAAGAACGAGGCCCTTTCCCATGGAAAATCTATACCAAGAGCAGCAGGAAGTGAGGACGGCTTCAGGCAAACCATGGCCGCTAAGTGTGGGGGGTTTCAAAACATCCTCTTGTCTTCATTCCTTTTGTCAGGCCAACCTTCTGGAACAAGTGCAAAGTAGGTGGGTGTTGAAGCTGGACTGCTTCTCTCAGCAGCTCAGTGGGCCGCTTTCCAGACCTTGGACGCCCAGGCTGCGTGCAGGGCAGGTGGCGGTGGAGTGGCTGAGAACCCAGTCTCTGGCACTACAGCAACTTCCTATGTGCCTGGCCCATATCAAGCACTATTACTATTGCTGCAATTATTATTAATAAGTACACTGCTAGTAACTTACTGGCTGGAGAAGAAAAATGAAAAGAGCCTCAGCAGTTAGGCATTTGGTGGAGACGGTAGGAAAGGAGACAGGGTTTTTAAATAGCCAAGTGGACTTAAAACCCACTGGCCATAAACTCCTGGCTCTCAGATATTCTGTCCTCTATTCACAGAAATCATCCACATGTTCTAAAAACCCCAACATTTTAGCATCCAAAGTATACCTCCCACACTGCCTGTGAAAACACGGTCCACATACAAACAGGTAAAAAACTTAATCAAGAGGCAGCCCCAGGTAAGAGCAACAGCCTCTACCCACCTGAGAGCCCAGGTAAACAACGTCTTGGCTGGTCAACCTGAAGGAGGCAGGGACTGGAGCAGTGCTGGGAGCAACAAAAAGATGGGGACGCTTTCAAATGATACAGGTGGTTGGCCGCGGGGACGCTGTTACTGAGAACGGGGCCACCTTCTGTAGGGCACGTGGATGAGCAGAACCTAGGACCAGGAGGTGAGCCCAGATGAAGACTTTAAACCAGGCTCTTTCATCGCCCCTTTGTCCAAACGCCAGCACTCTCTCTAGGTCGTGCCACAAGCCCTACCCCCTCCAAATAAAGGAAAGCAAGTCAGGAAGTGGAAGCTGTTCATTTCTGTAAAAACTGGAAGCTGGGCAACTGTGTGGCAAGTGACAAGGGGAAAAGAAGTTTGTTTTGACTGACACAAGGACAGAATGAGGCCCTGCCCAGGAATCAGCCCCTTTCTTTGCAGTCCAGTGGCTGAGAACCCAGTCTCTGACATCACAGCGACTTAGGTTCAAATTACCAGCTCAGCGCAACAAAAATAACTACCACTTATTGAGCACCCACTATGTGTCAAGCACTGTGAGAAATGCTTAACAAGCATTCTCTCTTAAAATCTCCACAATCCCACAAGGGAGGTGCTGTTATCAGGCCCAGCTGGGCCAGAGTTGCACTTAGTAGCCTGCCCAGACGTAGGGCTGTTTGGACCCAACCTCTGGCTTCGGAACCACTGTGCGCAGCCCATCCCGTCGCCTCAGCGATGGTTTGTTCCGGCTGCTCCTTCGGAGCCCCTGCTGCAGGCAGCACCAGGGGCTGCCCACCCGTGGCTTACTGTCTCGTGATGTGTCCACGACAGGCACCTGGATCCTCCCCTTAGCCTTTCCTCCCCCCCCCCCGACTTTGGAAGAACAGGAACCCTGAACACAAGTGACATCACCCCTCCCCACTCCACCCTTTTCTCAGCACATAATTACAAGGTGGGCACAGATGTGAGTTACTACAAAAAACAAAGGGCAATGGTGACGCAGAAACAAGTTTCAGCAATGACAGACCACGTTTGGTAGAGTAATGGAAATCTACTTCCTTACAAAACTGACCTTGGGCAGGCTGCTCAGGGAACAAGGCCACTGCGTAGTTTTCCGAGCAGGGACGCTCTTTGCCTGGAGTGGTTCACGTGCTCCTCCGACCCACCCATCACCTCATGGTGCTCTCGGACCTGCCCAGAACTCGTTGACACTCGAAAGAGCTAAACTCCAGGATCCATTCAAATCGGCCTCCAGCCCACTCAGCAACTAGCTTAGACTCAAGTCACAGGGTTTGCTTAGTCTCCCTTAAAGCATATTTTTGGAATCTACTTGCATAACATAAGTCAACTTATAGGCTAAGAAGCCCAGTAGAAAAAGATAAATACCATTAAAGGAGTTTCAAAAGTCCACTTGTATAAGGTTAAAAGTTACATTTTGCCCCTTCTGAAAATGACACTAGTTTCAAATATACATTGTAGAACTGTACAGCACTAAGAGTAAATGTTTTAAATACAGTTATACTACAGCTACTAAAATGTTCAGAATAGAAACAGACCAAAAATAATAAATATAAGTAAGGCCCAGGCTGCCTTAGAGGGTTCTACATTCAGGAGGAAAACATGTGTACTTTCATCATGCTGAGGTGGCATGCACACACAAGGGGGAAAGACATGGGTGTCCTGTGAGAGGGGACAAGTAGAAATCACCAGGGAGGATGCCAGGCTCAGCTCCCTGCAGAAGGGCCCTGGCTTCTGGAACGCCCTTGTCCATGAGCTCCTTTATCTCACTGCTTAGGAGCAAACAGCAACTTACGCTCCAACCTGGCAGACAGGTCAGGCCTCCTAAGCTTGAGGGAAGGAATGGTGCAAAATTTCAGAAGCTCTTACTCCACCTTTGCAAAGGCAAGTGGGGCTGGGGACAATCCAGTCCTTGTCCTGGTGGGCAGACGGAAAGACGGAGACTCAACTCCACCACATGACCCTGGAGAAGCTCTCTCCCGACTCTGCCCCTCAGCTTCCGCACTGGCAAAGTGCTCATGACTCTCACCTGTGGCACCTTGGCAGGTTGTTGTGAGAATGTATAGGATTCAAACTGTAAACAAAACAAAAATCTCTAAATCAGAACTGCGTAACAGCTATGAATACCAAACAAGTGGGAAACAGAAAGGCAAACATGGAAGTGAGAAACCGAATCCATGACAAGGGAGGGCACACAGTGTCATTCACGTTTTATTTCTCTCTCACACACACAAAATGGACACGAAGTTAAGTTACACCATTAAGATCTGCACAGGTATATGTTAAAATAGTCTCTTGAATCTTATCTGAATGGTGAAGTAACATCTATAAATGGGAGAAAGAAAAACACTGGGCTACAAAGACACAAGGGAGCATTGCTCTCTAGACTATACTCCACTGGGATACACTCTTATTTCACCAGAAAGAATGTGGAGAAACCCCCCAAAAAATAAAGTCCAGGCTGACTCTCTGGCCTTCTTGCTGGTAGCTCCGGCGAGCAACCACATTCAGCTTCCGCAGACCCCCCAGGATCCTCAGACGCCTCTATCAGCGACCACATCCACAAGGGAATGTGCCAGGCACCCTGATCCAAGCGCAGCCCTCCTTGCGAGGGGCTCTCTGCTGCTGGGCTCCAGCTGCCGCTCCCTGCTCCCAAGGACCCCACCATAGGCCCACAATGAGGCACCACAAGACAAATGAGACTTTCTGTCTCTGGTTCAGGAGAATAAGTTCATTCTTCAGTGAGAAAACTAGAGTCATTACTAATCACCTCCACTGTTTAATTCATTGCTGAGATGCTGCCTCATCTTAAGGACAAACATTTAGAAAGGGCCCGACACCACTTGCTTTTCGGGTGCCCAGGACATGACTCACTACCCATAGCTGCCTCTGGAGACATGACTTGCTCAGCCAGAATCACGGAATACTGGAATTAGAAGACAACTCAGAAAACAAGGACCCAGTGAGGGATGTGCCAGTCCCATCCAGGGTCCACAGCCAGGACTGAAACCCTGTGCAAAAACACATTTTGTTTTTGGGGGACTTGAACCTGAAAAAGAAGAGCTATGTGCTAAAGTGGAAGTAAAAGTTCAGAATAAAGAAGCTGCTTCAATGCTACAGGCATGTGGAAAGTCATGCGGTGTCTGTGAGCTGAAATGCCGAGGGGTCTGCCCTGTGCTGGACGCTCCAGTGATCTGGGCTGAGTGTGAGCTTTCGGGGAGGCAGAAAGGCTCAGTCAAACAGAAACAAAACAAACTACCACCAGGCCAGGTACTAAAGGAAGCTATTACACCCTCATTTGGCAATGAGAACCACCATGGCATGGAATAATTAAACCCATTTGGACATCAAGTTCTCTCTCCTGTACCCCTTTCCCAAAGTCAACTTCACTCTTATAATTAAGAAGGGAAACAAAATAAATCACAGTTCTGTTTTGTTTTTTTTAAAAAAAGAAAGGTCCCCCAGTAAAATACAAAGTACATTTAACTTGTCACATTATATAAAAAGTGTGCATTTAATCTTCAGAATAGTCGAACCTCTAATCAGGTTGGGTTTTCCAAAGTTTTAAGCAGGATTCTATGGTTTCAGTGAAGAAGTCATGGTACAGTTGAAATCACTATAGGAAATAAGTGATTTTTAAAACACATACACAATACACATTTGCCTTAGGAGTAATATATATACAACACAGCAGCTACATGGGTGGGTGGTCAGGCGAGGGGCACAAACAAGAAGCTCTCTGCTCCCTGCCCAGTGGGAAAGCCCCCAGAAAGGATTCAGCAGCAACCAGTCCATAGCACAAACGTGAACACCATCATCCCTGAAGATAAAGTTAGCTGGACCGCCCTCCAGGAGCCATCAGAGCCTAAACATGTGGGAAGGGGTTTGGTTACAGTACATTCTACTGTATATACTTGAAGTCTTACAGTGTGGTGTTTTTTTTTGTCTGTTTGTTTTACCAGACTATTATAAATAATTTTTTGAGCTTTCTCAAGAAAATTTTTCAGTCTGTGATGAAGTTAGGTGACTCCATATCATAAAGCAGAGCTCATGTTCCCCGGGATTTTATGTGGACAGAATGCTGTCTGATAAATAAGCCTTTGTCCCCGCAGCCGACAGAAGGCAAACCCCGTGGGGCTCCAAGGCGGGATTACAGAGCAGCTCAGGGCAAAGCTCTCCAGCAGCAAAGACACTGAAGCCGTGTACCCCTTCCCTGCTGGGGAAAGGGGCAGTACGAAGACAGGTGCGGGGGACCCTGAGCCCGTCAGACCCAGTGAACAGCCACTCTCTAATCGAGCCCGGTTCCACTGAGGAGACCCAGACCCAGGGCCAAGCAGCCACTGCTGAGCTGGGCAGCACCATCCTCCAGGGTTTTAAAACTTCTGTTTAAAAAACCCAAATGGTTTTACCCCCATGACTTCCTTCCAACTCAAAGCTGTAGTTTACTTGTAACCCCAAATCATAAGCACATAGACTGAATGTACAGAATTTTCTTAACACCTGCAGATAAAAAACACTCTACCAAAAAGTTAAAAAAGAAAAAGACAGTGAGTTGAAGCCTTGTCATTGTCTAAGTCACACCAGCGGGGCTTGCCTGGGAGCCCTGTCCCCTCGCTCTGGCCTGCTCTGACTCCTGGCCCTGCGTGGCGCCTGCTAGTTCTCCAGGGCATCTGTCAGCATCCCCTTCTCGGTCAGGTGAGACTTGAGTGTGTTGAAGATGTGGAGCTGCTGATCTGGCCGCAAGGTCATGAACTGCTGAATCAGCTTGCTTGGGTTCGGGCCCCTGGAAGAGAATGTGACAAAATGGCACTGATGGGGGCCCACCAATTTCTAGGGCCTGACTATCCAAGTGGTTGCTCCCACCTCTGGATTCCCTACGAACAGAGTGCAGAGCGGCCTTGGGAAACCTGTAGATAAACAGTAGCAGCGGAAAACTGCATTTATAATTGGGATGCTTTTCGCTGAAACTGAGATGTAGCTAAACTCCTAGAATTCCGCCCTATTTAAAATTCTTCCAACTTGGTTCAGGTGGAAAGGCACTGTACCTGATAAAACTGGCGATGTACACATTGACGAAGGTGGCCATCAGATACTGGCAGTCAAAGCGATCCATGATGCCCCCGTGGCCAGGAATCGTATTGGCAAAGTCCTGTTAGAGGCAGCAGAGGGACTGGTGGGCCGGGGCTCAGCCAAGGTCAAACCCTGGCCTACGGCCCCACCTCAATGCCCAGCTACTGTCCCGAGTCGCTGAGGGAAACCAAGTGAGAAGCAAGCATTGATTCAAATGCTGAGGCTATACCAGGACATGATCTTATTAAATTACAAAATGGTTTTTTAAAGAAAGATGTAAGATATTAACAAATACACAGAAATTCCAACTACTAAGTTTTCTTGGAAACACTGCCCTTTTTTTAACCTACCTACATCCTGCGCATGGGTGAAGAGCACACAGTAAGGGCCTAGGACTTTGACGGAGGTGGTGGCTGACAGGGTGGGGCAGGAGGAGGGAGGCGGAAGGCAGGCAAAGAGGGGCCTGGCGGGGAGACAATGGGAGGGACAGAGAAGAGGGTTCTCCTACTTTGATTTTAAAGGCTCGTTTGAATCCACTTGCAAAGAACCCTCCAAAGGGGCCGATGAGTGAGGCAAAGGTCGAGAGGGCAATGCTGTGAATCTGGAAAGGGTACATCCGGACGATTTTCTGAGGAGAATATATGAAGTAAAAGTCAAGATGCCAACAGGCACAGCCTTATTACATGTTAACATATATAACTCTTTATTCAACTACCTATATTCCCCGCACCCCTCCAAAAAAGAACATAATTAGTAAGAAGACTGATTTTTTTTTTTTAACTTCTGTTCTGGTTGAAGTTTATGAAGAAACTCCAGCCTTACACAGATATGTCACTGAAAAAAGGAAGAGTATTTCAGTACTGTCTTTTCAGATAATTGTGGGTATTTTTGACAATACACAAGAACTTGATAAGTGGCAGTCCTTAAAAATTTGGTGCAATGTGAAATCTGAAATTCTATTAATGAAACTTTTATACTCTTAAGTTAAAATCCACTGGTCTATCGGGCACTTTGAATGTATGTTTTTGCCCATGCATGACTGTATAACCCCATGCACTGGCCATTCAGAAAATACTGGTTTCCTGAGTTACGTCAACCTTCCAAAGGTAGACGCACTTAGCTCTAAAATGTCAAAACATCACATATTAAAATTACCACAGATCTCATCAGAAAATTCTTTAAATATTAGGAAGCTATCAAGCTCACAAAAGGAACACTTTCTAAAATTCTTCTTTCCCATGAAAGCCATATTTTATCATTGTTAACAATTACTGTGAGCTGTTTTCCTTGAAGTGACAGGCTCACTTCATCCATTTAAGAAAAACACCTGTCAATTATCCAAGCCTAAAACACTATAGTTTGTCAGTTCTTTTCAAGTAAAATTATATTTCTATAAAAAAGCAGCTAGGTCAGCTCCTAAGGAAGTGCCCACATGCTTTCCCTTTGGATAATCAAATACCTCCAAACTTAGTTCAGCAGAAATGTTTTATGCACTTTTCGTTTTGGTACAAAGAGTTTTAGAAAGGGGTGTATTCAAGGGCCAAGATTTAATAAAATTAATAATTTTACTATTTTGCCAAAGACACTCTTAAGAAGAACCGGCTCAGTTTTTACTGCAAGCGTGTGGCTCAGAGAACCCAGTGACTTGGTCCTCTTTGGCACCAGCCCCTCACCCATGCTGGGTCGCCAGCAGGTTGACCCACGGCTGCTTTTGTCAACAAAGTGAACAAGGCAAATAATGTCACTGTATTATTATGAAAATAGATGTGACCTCGCAGACCCCCTGAAAGGATCTCAGGGTCCCCCAGGGATCCAAAAGCACGCTTTGAGAATCACTCGTCCTAATGATTTGAAGAAAGAAGTCAAGTCTCCTCCTGTTCCCGCCATGAACTGACTAGAACACTCTCCCTCACCCTGGGGCCCACAGCTTTGGGGACAGGACGGTGCTTTTATGAGAGAAGGCAGTGTGGGGAGGGGGCTGTCCCTTGCAGTCACCATCCCACTGAGGTCAGATCGCTCCGTGGCGGTGACACATACCCAGCCAATGGCCGACTGGATCACCTCAGGAATGTTATACTCATGCAGGCGAAACAGGTCCGAGGGCTCACAGTCCACAGTGAAGCTGTTGGTGTCGTTGTTGTACTCCACGGGGCAGACAAAGCATCTGTACCCAGACATCACATAGGACAGCTGAGAATGAAGAATAGATAGGCAAAGGTGACAAGTTCCGCCATCCTGCCTGGGCAGCAGACACCTGGTTTGGTCCCGTGCTTACAGTGCCTACCCTCTAACCGCAAGCACGCACTGAATCAGAGGCTTAGGTTCCACCACATGTGTACTTTGCCTGAACTGGGGCGGGGGCGGAGGACAGTGCCCAGCCCACTGCGGTCGCACACATACCCGCCCAGACACCCATGCCCTGAACGAATCCAGGAAAGACCTGAGAAATGTGGTGAAAAAACTGTAAGAAATTTCTCCCCACTTGGGGGTGCTATAGTCAATTTTCTCAGGATCTCGGGAGGCAGGAACTGAGGAAATGGTACAAGGAGAGGCTGACAGCCAGGAGGAAGGAGGCTGAAGAGCAGCAAGGTAAGGAAGCTGGGCACTTAAGGGCAGACGGACAGCACTGCAAAAGGGAGACTGGTGCAGGGTCAGAGCAGGGAATGGTGCTCTTGAAAGGGCTGGGAGATCATCCAGTTGTGGCCAGGCACACAAAGGAGAAAATCTGGGCTGAGCAGTGTATCTCACCCCTCCCCTTACTCTCCGATGCCAATCATGCTGACCTTGAAATATCAAATGCCAGGACAAGAATGCGGCCTGCTGGGTGTTGCATGCCTCGGCATGAGAAGCACAAGGTGCGCACGGCCCCTGCTCCTCAACTGCCAAGACTCTGTTTGAAAACTGGCGGACGGAGGACAGCTGGAGCTGCCCGTGCCAGTTACAGAGCATGCCACGCTGGTGCCCTTCTTCAGGGCAAGGTCCCATCCAGGAGGACACAGTCCTTGGCCTTGGGACACATGTTCTCTAGCCCTGGACAGGCTTGGAAGATGGGTGTGGGGCCTCTGGCACTCCCCCACCCAGCCAGGACCTACCAGGAGGCCAAACAGCACAGTAGCAAAGAAGCCCCCAATGAAGCCTTCCCAGGTCTTCTTCGGTGATAGCTGTGGGCAGAGAACAAGTCCTTAGCAAAGGGTATGTTGAGATCTCTGACTTTGGGAACACTGAGTACGTCTTAAAAAAACCTCACTATGTTAACCACCTCACCTTCTAAAATACCCCATGCTTGGTTTTCTGGTTCCCTGCCTGATTCCCCTCAGTTTATTTCCTGTTTCAAGTAGTCATTTAAGTCATTTAATTATATTATAAAACAGCATACTAACTAAACAGCAATACTCAAATTCAGATCAAATCCCCCAAAATGTATTTACAGAGTTTATAAAAATGTTTTCCTTATTCACTCTTTTTTCCCCGTGGGTAACTGTCAGGGTTTTCCTTTGGTTTTTTCTCCTAAAATTTAGTATCAGCCATTCTCAGGGACGACATGAAAGATACGTACTAGCTAGATCTCCTCTGTCTCCCAAGCTGATCTACTCGCGTTGAAAGCATCCCCCTTCCCGCATGGTGATGTTTCATGTTAGGATTATCCATTTACCTTGATGAGAGGGGTCCGACCAAAGAAGAAGCCAAACATATAGGCCATGATGTCATTACAGATAACGCAAGAAATGGGGACAATGAACCTACAAAATAAACCAAAGGATCAACTCTCCCATGATAATACCTTAAAAGACCACAGTATAATACCATTCATGAATTCTAGTACCAAAATAACTCATAGAGTATTTGTTACCCATTGAGAAATAACTTTTAAAAAAATAAAATAAAATACCGACCGAGCCATTCCTAGTACCTGGCACAGGGCAGGCATTCAAATGTTTACTGAATGACTACTGAATACATGAAAGTAGCATGCTGTAAGATGTCATTTGTTCTTTTGTCACTATAAAGCAATTATCTACACAACAGTACAAATTTAAACTGTAAAGGAAAGGAAAAAAAAGTTTCCCTTGTTTCTCCTATTCCTATCTCCATTTCCCAAAACAGCCACTTTTAATCATTTCTGGTTTTTCTCCTAGTAGTTGCCTCCCTAATTCTAGTAAGTGATATATTTTGTCTATTTCATAATTTACCTACTTTCTTTTAAACTGTGTATTACTTACTATAAGCTCTATCTAGCAAGCCCTGCCGTTCTCTAGGACTACCCAGTGGGCAAAACCACCATCCACACACACAGCTCGATGTCTTCTCTGCCTCCCCCTGCTGGTCTGGTCATGCCCATCATAAGATTGGGGCCGCTTCCACACTTGTACCATCACCCTCCTCTTCCTCACTCTCTATTCTCTGACAGTCACATTTTAAAAATTTCCTCTATTTCAGATTTAAAGTTCTTCAATTTCCTGGCCCATCAACTATAGGCAAATTTTTTAAGTATATTTCATTGATTATGCTATCACAGTTTTCTCATTTTTTTCTCCCCTTTATCTCCCTCCACCCTATACCCCGCTTCCCTCCAGCATTCCCCACTCCCCGCCTTAGTTCATGTCCATGGGTTGTACATATAAGTTCTGTGGCTTCTCAACCTCCTATACTATTCTTAACTTCCTCGTCTATTTTGTACCTACCAAGTATGCCTTTTATTCCCTGTACCTTTTCCCCCCATTCTCCCCCTCCCCCTCCCCGCTGATACTCTCCATGTGATCTCCATTTCTGTGATTCTGTTCCTGTTCTAATTGTTCTAATTGTTCCCTTAGTCTTGTTTTTGTTTTTTAAGTTCAGTTGTTGATAGTTGTGAGTTTGTTGTCATTTTACTGTTCATAGTTTTGATCTTCTTTTTCTTAGATAAGTCCCTTTAACATTTCATGTAATAAGGGCTTGGTGATGATGAACTCCTTTAGCTTTACCTTATCTGGGGAGCACTTTATCTGCCCTTCAATTCTAAATGATCACTTTGCCAGACAGAGTAATCTTGGATGTAGGTCCTTGCCTTTCATGACTTTGAATACTTAAAGGCAAAATTTTGACTTGCTGTTTGTTATGGGGATTTAGAGGATCAGTATTCAACCAACCCCCCCAAAATATTTACTCTGTAGAGGCTTCTAGCACATACTCTCTGCTCTAAAACTATAAGTCTTGTAGGTTGAATCTGAAAACCAGCACCTAGAGATTTTAACATTACTCACTGTAGAAGCAAGTGATATATCTGGTCATTAAGATGAGGACTTAGCATGTATCACTCACTGTTAAGAGACACCTAACAGAAACTCTGAAAGAAAGAAGGAGCTGTATGCTTCCCAGTCCATTATAATTGTTATAACCATAATAATGCCTGTAACATTTATATGAGCTAGTCTCTGTTCTAAGCACTTCACATGTATTTACTAATTTATTCCTCAGGAGGTGGGGAGTACTGTACCCTCATTATGAGATCTGGAAACAAAAGCACAGTCTGGGGTCTTACCCAGAATACCTTAGTACCTCTCTTCTATACACTAGGATAGGCTATACCTCTTCATTACGACCATCCAACTTCTTCAATCAGTCTGATGATTTCTATCTATGCTGACAGATTTCTTGTTGAAACCACTACATTTCTGGAATAAAATCTACTAAGTAACAGAACAGTCATGCGCAGCCTAACTATGAGGATAGCATTCTGAGGAAAGTGTTGTTAGGTGACTGAGTCCTTATATGAGCACCAGAGTGCACTTACACAAACCTAGACAATATAGCCTGCTACACACCTAGGGTATTGCTCTGTAGGGGCGGAAAAATAATTTTGCCTCTACCCTTCTAAGCTCTTGGCTGACACATTCCTGTAATAAAAGACAGATTCGTAGGAGAAAAACAAATAGAAGTTTAAAACCATATATACCTGAAAAACTGAGTAACTGGCCAAAATGGCTGAAACTACCAAGTTAAATACCACCTTCAGCTGAAGACAAAAGAAACTCTCCCTAAGTGGGGGGAGAGTTGGTTATAGGAAGTTCGCAGGGAAAGTGAAGTAAACACGGGTATGGTTGTTATGCAGATTTAAGTCCTTTCTCTTCTATATTGACAATAGTTTGTAGAAATAGGTCATCCACCTCTTCCAGTACAGCAAGGAGACACTTACATATGGAGATTTCCCATTCAAATGTAAACGTATTTACAAAGGGTAACTGCTACTTGGTTTTCAGAGCTTGTCCCAAGTCTGTTATTTCTTAAAATTAATTGGCCTACAATAACGCTTGTGCCAACAAGAGGTATTTTGGGGTAAGAAAGTTCTGTTCCCCTACAGCTCCTAGGCTACAAATCTGTACAGTATGCTACTGTACTAAATGCTGTGGGCAATTATAAGTATTTGTGTAATGCATCACACTACGACTTCACTAGGTGACAAGAATTTGTCAGCTCCATTGGGACCACCATAGTATGCGGTCTGTCATTGATCAAAGCTGTTCTTAAGTGGCACGTGACTGTATACATTCTTTTGACACATTGCCAGACTCCACTTGCTAACAGTTTATTTAGAACGGTTTATCTATAACCATAAAAGAAATTAGTTTATCATTCTTGTCTCTCCCTGTGCTTATCAGCTTTAGTGTTAAGGGTTAGATAAAACTTAGCTATTTCCTTTGGTCCTTTCTTTTTCCAGGTGTGGATTCCCACACAATTTTTAATTCTTCTACAGTTACTTATCTATTAAATTTTCTTCTTGATGACATTTAATAGTTTATATTTTGCCAGGAAATCATAGAAATTTCCTCTAGGATTTCAAATTTGTTGCCATACAGAACTGTCTCTGATTCTTTAAATATCCCTGTACCTATTAGTCTAGAACCATGGTCCTCAAACTGTAGGCCCTGAACAGCAACACCATTATCACCTGGGAATGCACTAGTAATTCAAGTTCGCAAGTCCCACCCCAGACTCCCTGAAGCAGAAACTCGGGGCTAGGGCCCAGAAATCTGTGTTGTAACCAGCGCTACACAGCATTCTGATGTAGCGCAAGGTGACAACCATTGGCTCAGGAGGCAAGGGACGCGTGCGTGAGAAACACGCACAAACTAAAAGGGAAAATTCCCTCCCTGTCATCACTCACCAGATCATTCCTTCAAAGAGGTTGTGGATAACAAGATGTGACTGGGTGACAACAATCAGCAACGTTACATGGGTCCAACCAAACTGCAAAAGAAGAAAAACAATCAACTTTTATCAGTGTGCCTTGAAGGGCACCAGCCAATACCAAATAGAAAATTGCCGAGAAACAGGTAGGAAAGATATCTGCTTCTGTAGATATGTTTCTTATTAGAAGTGACAAGGTACAGAACAGGCCTACGGGAGAAACTCTGTCCCCAGCTACAGTCCCCATAAATGCTCAGGACCACGTGGTTCACTAGTGAGTAAGTTCTTCTGTGCTCTGAAACCCTGGCTACTTCCAAGTATTCATTGAGTGCCTGAGGTGCTCAGAGAGGAAACATGATCAATTTGGAAAAGTGATATAGGATAGGACAATGCCTGCGGCCTTGAGGCAGAACAGTAAGAAACTAGGAAACTCTTTAGCAAGTGGAATGAGGGAAACTGAGACAAATAGTTAAACAAGGTGCTAAGAAATTGCAAGATCTTGTCTTCCCTAACCAAGAACACTTCGGAGCAAATGGTTTATACCTCTCCTCCTCAACAGAGTGAGTAGCTTAAATCACCCAAGTCAAGGAGATAGATAACAGAGACCCAGATGGTGCTACCAGTGCCCACCAAGCCCAAGAACGAATAAAGTCAAAAGAACAAATAAAAAGATTTAAAAAAGAAATAGAGCCAGACCAATCCGAGATAAAAGTAAAACAGTGAAGCTGACCAGAAAATGATCCCAAACTCCCCCATACACTCATTTTGATGCATCAGCACATTAAAGGACATACTTGGAAAGCTGTTGAATATTCTTTTGACACCCTCCCAAAACCTTCCCTAAAATTCCCACCTACAGAAAAAAGATAACTCTTAAGACAAAGAACCAAGTGTGTGCTCTCCCTTGAGTATGCCTGCACCCCTTCTTTCTTCAGGCATGTGCTTTTGCTTTCTTTCTTCTAAGCTCTAAAGGTCCCCAGGAGACTCGCAATGAGGAGGGCAGCAGGCAACAGCCGCTTGTCCCAGGCTAACCCCCTGAACCTGTCTCCAAGGGCCCTCCTTTTATCTCTGTAAATTGTTTCCTTGGTCTGTGTAGCTCATCGTGACTCATTTCTATTACTGTGACTTCCTTTCCTGAGTCCACGCAGCCCAGCATGGCTCACTTCTGCCACTTCAGTTACTGTGCTTTCCTTTCTTACATCAAGGCAGCCTCGCCTAGGCTCACTCCTGTTGCTATGATCTTGCCTCTTCTACCCTAAACCCTTCCTTTGTTTCACTGGCCCCAGGCTTTAATAAACATACTCTCCAAATCACCTGCCCTTGTGTCATGATATCTTTCCTACATGAAGTCAAGAATGCACACATTCCAGACCAGCCTGGGGCAGTCCTGCCTTAGTCCTGGTCCCTTTCTGGTGACAGCGCCACCTTGAGCCTTACTTGAAGCCCACTTTCTTCAGGGCCTAGTGGAGGGATCGCTTAGGGTGTAAATTAAGTAACAGTGATTGGATCTAAGTGGATATACAGCTGCCAAACTTGAACAGGCTCCCTTCCTTCATGGTCTGGGTTCCAGAAACATACATAACAGACTGCACTCCAGAGTTTGGATTTTCCACAGAAAAGATGAGAGATTTATTGAGTTTCAGCAGAACTTCATTTAAGCCAAGAATCCTGAGAGAGAGACAGAGACAGAGACAGAGATAGAGACACACTTCCCTTACCATGTAGAACTGCAGGCGGTAATGCTTCTTGACCAGACTCAATACAAACATGCAGAATCCTGATTCAAGGAGGGAGAAGAAAGGGCAAAATAAATCACATTCTGCATTTACCTTTGTCCTAGCCACTTCCTTTGGCTGTGTACATCATCGTGATTATGATCCTTTGGCTAATTTCCTGGAAGCAGTTAACCAGTGCATAACCCCAAACCCCAGGTAGTGGAGCAGGGAGGAAGGCATGGACTCGCTCTTCAGATTGTAATCAGAAGGGAAAAAATGACTCCGTCAAGACAATGAAAGGAAGGCACTGTCTTTAAATCTTGCAGACTACACTCAATTTAGGCTGTTGTTCACCAGATAAGAATATTTTAACCCTAGAGCACGGGTCAACAAACAACAGTCAGGCCGCTGCCAGATTTTATAACTAAAATTTTATTGTAACACAGCTATGCCCATTTGTTTACATATTGTCTGTGGTTGCTTTTGTGTTACTAGAGCAGATTGGGGAGTTGCAACAGGGACCCTGGGCCCCCAAAGCCTAAAATACTTATTATCTGGACTTTCAAGGAACAGTTTGCCAACTCCTGTTCCAGTGAAGAGGCCTGGTAGAAGGGGGATCCACCAGGTGCGGGGTAGAAGCCACCCCTACCTCCCTCACAGACGCATATGATGGCAAAAAAATACCTGCAGCCCCTGCCCCTTCTCCAGGAAGGGAAAGAACTTTTACCCCTAAGTGTGGTAGGCCCCTCAAACACAGTTCTGCCCAGCAGAGAGCATGTCGCTGTCCCAGATACCTCTGACTCCCACTGGGGGGCTGCTTTCAGGGTCTGAGGCATGCCCTCTGAATATCCTCAACATCTGCAAACCCCTTAGCAGTGGATTTTATATTTTAATACCCAGATGTCATTCACAGAGCTGATCAAAAATAGGTCAGACAAATTTAGGTCAGAACAACTTTCTCATGTGCCCCAAACTAGCTTTAAATTAGGCAAATATGAAAAACACTAACATTATCAGAACTAGTGTGTAGTCTGAACTGAGTTTAGACTGACAAGTACTTTACTGTTTGTCAAGTTTTAATGTATATGATTTAATCCTCACAGTAAGTGCCCAGTTTTAGCTCTAGATTACAAAAGAGCTTACTGAGACTCAGAGAGATTAAGCTCCCAGCCCCTGGGAAGTCACAGAGTCCTTTTAAATCCAAATCAGTAAAATTTCCACTAGATTGCATTGTCCTTCAAGGCGGTCTTCTAAGAAGATGCTCCTAAAGATGGCTGCCTGTTTTTAAACCTAAGTTATAAGAACAGGTGGTTTCTGTTTCCATCACAGCACAGATTCTCTGCCAACAGGAGAGTCAGGGCAGGGCCATGCTGTGCTGCCCTCCAACACAGGCTGGAACACAGGGACAGGTGGCACCGGCTGCGGTCCCCCACACCCACAGAGCCCCAGAGCCTCGCTTCTCTTAGCAAAGAGCTGCTACAGCTCAAGTAACGCAGCGCCCTCGGCTCTGCTCCCCTCGTGGTCAGAGGTGACATCATCAACACTTTACAGTAACCAAGGAATTCCCCAACTCCTACTCAGCAGACATACAAAACAGGACACATAAGAACTAGTGAGCCATTCAACGCATACCTATTAGGTAGAGAGTAAAGGAAATGAACCGGTGGTATTTGCTGAGAATCCGCAAAGGCTCCTCTCTCTGGACCAAAGTGAAGAAGTAATCTGTCACCGTTTCACCGTAGAAGAAATAATTTACACACAGTAAAAAGTACCTGTAAATGGAGACAAGTCATTGCCGCGGGGAGCACGTGCGGCCTGTCCTTTACAGCGAGGCTGTCAGGAAACCCCGAGGAAAGGACCAGAACAGCAGTCCCCCACCCTCGAGACCCCCATGGTCCCTGTTCTCCAGTGACACTGTAGGTGAGAAGTTTATCTAGAAACTTGTGGCAGCTGTCATTCACCCTCCATTTATCACAAACGCAGGATTTAGTTTTTGCCCCTTTTGTAGAGTTTCTGTACCTAACCTAAGAACGCTCAAACCGTAAGATAGTGCTCCAAAACGTGCCTCATCCTGCTTCCCAGTCTTGTTTCCACTCTCCCCGGCAGGAACCCTTCGTGCCCACCAGGGAGGCTCACCCAGCTTTGCCACCTGTCTGCTTTGCTCCTGTCCCTTCTCTGCCTGGGGCATCCTCTTCACTTACCTTTCTTCACTCACTGTTCAAATATCAGTTTCTTCATAAAACCTTGCCTGACGTAACACGATACCTGCCTCCCTGGCATTCACTTCTATAGCACGTCAGCCAGTCTCTGTTATTCTAGGAAGATTCCAGACTTTTGGTAACTACTAACGACTCTTCCAAGGCCAGCATGTAGTCTGGCCTACAAAGCACTTGGGTTTCATAGGTGCCATGCAGGTTCATAGCCATCACTCCCCTCCCGCCCATCACCACGGTAAATATCTACCACAAAACACCTGTCACCCAAGTCTATTAAGGGTGCCTATGGGGCTGCAGAGCTTACCAGCTGAGGGTCCTGAACCAGGGTAGGTCATAGGAGTGGTAGACATTGTAGCCAATAGTAATAATCTCATGGAAACACTTTATCTGAACACACATCACCTGCAGGACACACAAGAATAAGAATGCTGGAGAGCTCCCCAGTTCTTATGATCTTTGGAAACAGAAACAAATCATGGGCTTTCAAGAAAAACCACTGTAAGAAAAATGGCAGTCCTACAGCGATTCATCTCTCTTCTCTCTCACACCCCACCCCCCGTGGCAATATAGCCTTTTATAACAGAATAGATCCAGTTTCTCACAAAGAACACACAGGCTCCTAGAGGGGGTGGGGGAGGGCTGGATGGAGGGGAACAAAGAGGGAAAAACTGGGACAATCATAATAGCATAAACAATAAAATATTTTTTGAAACAAAACAACAAATACATGCTCCTGAAGTTTCAATTAACTCTTTATTCTAGAACTTCCCAGGACTCAATCGACTTCTTTCCCTTTTGACTATGAATACAAATACCTGGAAAGCCCCAACTGCTGTGCTCAGCGGTCAGTTGTTGGTCATCTGACCTGCCCGTGACAGTGGGAAGACTGAGAGGGGGCACTGTGGACTGGGAGTTCTTAAGGAAAGGCCGAAGCCTATGAGTAAGGCCCCAGGAAAACAACAAACAAAACCAAGAATCAACAGGACAGCAGGGGTCACAGTGTAATCAAACAGTTGAAATAATAAAATCAAATTTTAAAATGGAGAGGCATCTTTAACCACATACAACTGGCCTGACCCAACATCCCTCTACCTGGCTGCTAAAAAGAGAGCAGTCACAGATATTGTAAGAAAGAAATGCTCTGTGGAGCCTGGACCCCAAATGATTCCCAGAACTAACCCAGCACCCAGCACTTCAGATCCTGCATGAAAAACCGAAGGCCAAACTAAAAGAACACGCAACGGCACTTACAATGATCATTAAAACCATTGGTCCCAGGTAAATGATGACGAAGAAAAATGCAATCATGGCCAAAGTCAGGATGCCTCTCACCCACCAGTTCTTCCATCTAAGTTAGAGAGGGAAGGAGAAAATGCATTAGGAGCCCAGAGAGAACGGAAGCACAAACCCAGGGGGGACGGCTGTTCCCGGGAGGAGAGGGCCTGGGGTCAGTCCTTTCCAGGAGCATCTCCTTCACTGGGACAGAGGAACTAGCCACATGCTGGCGGGAGCAGGGCCACTACAGGCGATGCCTCATCCACACCCAACACAGTGGACGTTCCAAGGCCCAAGGCCTACAGAAGAATACACCAGCGTTATGTCTTAATGAAGGAACCAGGCAAAAATCCCAAGGGAAATGCAGTGCCCTCTACTTCAGTATCTACTTGAATGGTTTCTACAGCTGTCTCTACGGGGCGGGGGGCCCTGGGAATGAACCTTACAAACATATTTCCTTCAGCAGAACCCTACGTTGCCCTACTCCTGCACTGTTATGGTGATAGCAATATTAAAAAGTGATAATAACAGCTATTACAAATACACACCTGGCACCCTTATAAGGACTTTACATGTATTAAGACATTCAGCCCTCAACACTCTCAGTTTTTACAGATGAGGAGCTGGAGGCCCTGGTCATACAGTTATGAAGCGGTTAAGCTGGGACTTCAATCCTGGGGGCCTGGCTCCAGAACCCATACCCCTAACCACTGCTCAATACAATCTTTCAAAGGGACATGTATGGGAGGCACACAAAGAAACACTTACAGATGTTTTGGGGCCTTACAGTTTGTGTTTTTAATCTACCCACATAGCTGGCATTGGAGAGACTAGAGTTTCAAGGGACCAGAATTCCAACCCTGGAATCACCCAAGTTAAGATGGTTCTCAGTTCTTCCAGGAGACCTTTTAAATGTCCACAATGGACGTGCGCGGGAGAGGGGGCACTAAACGTTAAACTGGAAACGTGGGCTCCTCTGTGAAAAGCAGTCCCTCCATCAGTCACAAAGCCCAGGGACCATTTCCCCACATATGCTGGGTCAGCGACCTTGCCCACCACCACCCCTCTGCCCACCCTTTCCTCCTCCTTGGACAGCCCCTTCCAGCCCAGCCTAGAGCACCCTTCAACTGCCAGACCCCTCCAGGCTGTGCCCGCGGTTGCTGCTAAGATGAGCAGGGCACGGGCACTGCAGTCAATGCCAGTGGGCAGGCATGTCCCACACGCTTTGACAGGAATAGACTCCCACCACGAGACCATGAAGGGCCTGGGTCTTCCATGGCACTTGGACATGCCAACAAGGCCCCCAACAAGCACCTGCATCATTAAGCCAGGTTACCTTGAAGACAAGTTGGAGAGGGCCCTGTTGAGGACCTCTGGGGTATCGTCCACAGAGGTTACGAGGGGGGTAGCTTCCGCTCGGCTCTCACTGTCCGATGCAGTCTCTCCGTCTACCTTTGCTTCTGGCTCCGGCTCCTACAGAGCAGAAAAACAGAAGAGGAAAAGGTCAAAATGTTGAGCAGGATACTGAGAAGTATATGCTGTTTATAGGAGATCTGTGGGAAAAGACCCAAACTGGGCCTGAAGAACTGGCAGAGTCAGGTGACAATAACAGATGGGACGCACAGCGATCCTGACACTCATCTGACATGTGCCAAGGTGGCCCGCTCTCTACTGCAAGAGAGACATGCATCGGCACCTCGGGAGGATGAGCAGCAGCCTCGATCTACTAAACCCCCACTGCCAGACAGAGGAGCGGGGCAGGGAACAGTTCAGAAGAGGGAGAGGGGCTCCTTTGTAGCCAAAGAATGCACATGGGAGCTGTGGCCAGGTTTCATCTGGGCCCCATTCCTGATCCTACTACTCAGAGCTTTTATTTCTTAAGGGAATTTAAAATAATTGCTGTGAGAAGACATGGAAATCACATCACGTAGAACTAGACAGTAACATAGAACTAGATGGTAACAATACTACTAGTATTTATATAGCCCTTCAAGTTTTTAGAGCATTTCCCCCATACCTGTGAACCTCAGAGCACTTCTGGGAAGAAAGAAACACAAGATCCCGTGGTACAAATGAAGATACAGGCTCTGAGAAGCTCCATGGCTGGCCCCAAATCGCCTATTCACCCAGGTCTTATAATTTGCATTTGTTCATCACCACATTTCCTTTTATTTAAGCATCCTGGAACCCATTTTGTTTTTTCAGTAAGAAATTCAAAATGAAGTAAACTAGATATAGCAAAAGGATGTTTTACCACATCTTCAAGGATTTCATTATATATATGGGCAAACATATTTAAGTTGAACTAACAATTTAAATTTCCCTAATTAATAAATATACAAAATAGAGCACTATTTCATATGTTTACTGTCCATTTGATTATTTTCCTTTGCAAAGTGTCTATCAAGTCACCGGCCAGTTTTTCTACTGAGTTTTTTGCCTTCCTTTTTATTTATTTATTTAATTGCTTTTAGAGAAAAAGGGAGAGACAGAAACACTGATGTGAGAAACACAGTTCAGCTGTCTCTTGTATGTGCTCAGACTATGGATTGTATGCATCCGGACCAGGGATCGAACCCACAGCATAGGTTATGTGCCCTGACTGGGAACTGACCCTACAGTCTTTCAGTTACAGGATGACACTCCCACCGAACCACACCAGTCGGGGTGCATTTCCTTTTTACTGATTTGTAGAAATTTCTTATTCATCCCAGAATTAAGTACTTTGTGTCACTGATCCGTCTGTTCTCCCAGCCTTCCCTGACCCTGCTCCCACCCCAGTCATTCCCTCTAACACTCAGACCGTCTCCCTCTCGCACTGGCCCATGATGGGGGCTTAGAAGGAGATCTTTTGTAATTGTCTGTTGCTCCCTAAAACTAGGAACCGAGACCCCTTGTTCTCATGACATCCCCATGCCTGGCACACTGCAAAATACTTACTAATGGACGGAAGGATGGAAGGAGGAAGCAAGGAGTTAATTCCAGGCATGGTAAAGAGATGCCTAGCCCCTGCCCTCATGGAAACAGCAATTTCTAAATTACATCACAAATTACTGTGATAACACCGCTAAACAAAAGATCTTTAGTACGAGATTGCTCATACAAAAGGCAACTGGGTTTGATAAAGGACGTAAAGAGGTAGTCTTGTCAACCGGATCTCGGGGAAAGAGCTATAGCTTCTGATGACGGGGTTGCTGCTCCCTACTCTGCCACAGCTGAGCCTGGTGGCTCTGGAGAAGTCACACAAGTGCCTCTGTGCTTTAGTGTCCTTACCTTATAAACAGGCTCTCCTGACCTGTGAGGGTTCACTGAAGACATACAACCAAACCCACCCAAGGCTATGTCCCATTCCACCACCCTGAGAAGTTCCAAAACAGAGTAACACCTCCAAAATCATCCCTTTCCAGTTAGATGGAATGAAGAGGAGGCATTCAGAACAGCTTTCCATTCTTTATCTTAACATTATCACCCACACCCCATCTGTAACATTCAGTAGTAATATGAGGTAAGGATTCTGACCCCTAAACTGAGGGTCTTCAACAGGAAAGCACCAGGGCCCCCGGAAGCCTCCCGACAGAGGCTTTCCGCCAGCACCTAGAAGCCACAGGGGCTGAGCTTGAGCACAGCAGACAAGAAGTCATGCGCCTGTGTACGTCACACACATGCACACACGCACGCACACTGAAGCCCCAGCAGAAGGTTATTTTTAACTCACCCATCCTGTTGTCAAGGAGACTCAGAAAGGCTGCTGGTTCCCCAGGGCAGGAAGGAGCCGGGGAGGGGCAGGAGCTCTGGCTCCGTACTAACTCCCCTCCCGCCTCCTGACCTTCCCGGCCCTTTTATAAATGTTAGTCCAGCACTGTCTCCTGCACTATCACCAACTGTGACTCCTCCCCTCCCTTGCTAGGATGGGGTGAGGTGAAGAGAGGTATCTTGAGGCGGAAAGTAGTAGATGGAGGACTGTTGCATCGACCCTGTAGCTGCTGTCATTACCAAGGGGTCAAAGGGCCTGTGATGAACAACTAGGAATTTAAGTAAATGCTCTGAAAGAACAAGCCTGAAGGGGAGATTCGCTTCCTAGGTTTTACCTGCCTGTAAGCAAGTAACTCCAGGGTCCCAGGCCTCACCCCAGGCCTCTGAGAAAGAGCTCTTTTCTGGAGGCTCCGTTTGAACAGGAAACCAGCACCCACACAGACAACCATTCTCCCGCCAGCAGGAAGGCAAATTCCTGTGCAAGGGAAAGAAAGGGCACAGCCTCAGACGTGGATGGGGAGGGGGCGAGTCAGCCAGCACTCTAGGCTCCTGACCCTCCCCTCAGCTGTGGCACTGCCCCAGCCAAGTGTCACAGGAGAGCTGGCCAAGGGAACAGAAACGTAAAAGAACCTGGAGAGGCCTACCGCATTCTGGCTCCTCCCCACCCCATGGGCGAAGGCCTTGCAACATGGGTCGCTAATACCTGAGTAGAAGAGGCCAAGTGTCGGTGTGGCTTCCAAAGCGGGCCCAGAAGGAAGCAAGGACCTGGAGCCAACTTCTCACCCAGAAGAAAAGTCCGTCGGAAGCCTAGCCTTAACAGGCATTCCCTTCCTAACAGGCTTCTACCCTAAAGACCTAATCCTCGAAGCCGAACCAAGAGTCAAGGGTGCCAAGCACATTCACTGGTTTGTTCCTCAAGGGAAGGCAAGACAGGCCAATGGGAAGGAAGGCTTTCTGCAGAAGGAGGCAGCGGCCAGTCAGGGAGGGCAAGGCCCAGGGCCCAGTTCTCTTGCTCTTATGCTCGGCACAGGCCTCCATTCCCTGGTCTTCCCAGTGGGGAAAGAATCCCCCATCTTGATGGTTGTTGGGATGATCAAATGCAAGATCAATGAATGACTGTAAAAACTAAAAAGGGACTGAATAGCAACACCCTCCGCCCCTCAGTCCCCTCACCATGGTGCACAGGACAGCAGCACAAGAACCTTAAACACCCACCCCAGGCAACCCGGGTACCTTCCCCAACGAGGCTGGAGCAGGGAAAGCATGGTGGCCATCAGGCCTTGCTGAGGCCCATGTGCTGACCGATTACGTGCGCTCGGCATCTGCCCGCCTTGCCTTCTCTTTCACACCTGCAATACATCCAATAGGCAGCCCCAAATCAAAACGGATCCACTTCCCACAGCTACCGTGGAGATGGAGGTCTGAAACACAAATACAGCAGTACATACTAGTACTCTCTGAAGTGGGATGTGTGTAAAGCAATCCACTGAAGTGTGGGAGAAAACAGAGAGCACTTATTTCTGTTTATCTTGTTCATGTTTTTTTTCCTGTGCATGCTCTATAATGGGCCTATCAGTACATATATAGAACTTAGCTTGTGCAAGCTGGGACACATGGTAAAACGACACATACATGTCAGCAGCCATGTGCGTCTCATTTCCCATTGCACCCAGCAGTGCCTGGAACATAACAAGCACTCAAAGATTTGCTGAAATAAGATAATTAATTCTACTGGACCCACCATGCACCAGTGTCCAGATTGCACTGAAGGTACAACAGAACCCACTCTGATTTCCAGCTCACATGCCAAGACCCACACCATGGCCTTCACAGTGGCCCTCAAACCAGGACCAGACCAGTGCCCATTCCCACCCCGCTCCCTGCTGAGTGCTGGGTCTGAGGAACCGGCTCAGTTCTGGAACCAGCAAAGGGCAGCAGGGAATGGCTGCCTTGCTGCTTCAAACTGTCTCAGCCCAGCCTCCACGCATGACCTCCTTCTATTCTGCCTCCTTTTCCTCCCTCCCTCCCTGCTTTTTCTCCCTCCCTCCCTCCTTTTCATCCCAAGGGCCCAGGTAAGACACTAAGTGGCACAGACCTCCTCTCTCAGACTCTATCTTAATCACCACCCATCCTCCCCCACTCCCTTAGCCATTTCCCAGGGGGGCTGTGTTGCTGGTGTAAACAGGAAATACAAGTGGTACTTTAAAAGGAAGAGAAAGCTCTGTCTGATGTGGCTCAGTAGACTGAGTGCCGGCCTGCAAACCAAAAGGTCATGATTTCGATTCCCGGTCAGAGCACATGCCTGGTTGCAGCGCAGGCCCCCAGCTGGGGGTGTGCAAGAGGCAACTGATTGATGTCTCTCACACAACAGCATTTCTCTTCCTCTCTTTCTCCCTCCCTTCCTCTCTCTGTAAATAAATAAAGTGTTTAAAACAAAAAAAGAAAAGAAGAGAAAAAAGCTCCCTCAGAGGCTTTCTTCCTGCTGATTCACTTAGATCCTACAGGGAAAGGCAGAAGCACCGAAGGTGCTGGACACATGGAGTCTCCTGGGTACCAAGAGCTCAGGTAGGATATGTCTTCATTTTTGGAGAGATTCATGTCCCAAAAGCTTCCCCTACCAGCCTTCCAGGGCCCCTCTCTCAGCCACAGCTGCCCGAAAGCCAACACCAGCACCGACCTGGGGCTGAGAACAGCACCGAAGCCTTCCTTCAACAGAG